CGGGAGAGTGTGTGTACATGGACGAGAGCGGAGGCTGGCGGAGAGCTGACTGTGAAACTCTGCTACCAGGAGCCCTGTGTCATGTTCCCCCACCAAGTCAGTGCTACTTCACTGAATAATAGCAGTGCTCACTCGACACTGCACCTCTTCAGCTGCTGAGTTTCTGTCACTCATAATGTGTGAAAGTGTCTTCTGCCTTTGTCCCTCACTCTCTCTCTCTCTCTCACTCTCTCTCTCTCTCTCTCTCTCTCTCTCTCTCTCTCTCTCACAGGCAATAAACCATTCATCTCATACGAGGTGGCGTGTCCCTCCACATGGGTGAAATTCAGGCATGGCTGTTACGACTTTGAGCCTGTGGTGCAGAAACTTACATTTGAAGAGTCGAGAGAGCACTGCAGGCAGAAAGGTAGAGATTCATAAGATGCAATTTTGGTTGTTTATTGCAAAGTAATTTATGCATTGTTTTTCAAAATTGAAATATGTTAAGTCACCGTAATCTGCAGGATGGAATACATACTCCCCCTACAGGTCAGCTAGAGGAGCTGCTCTGAGAAGCCCTAGCTACTTAGAAAACTGTGGTTGAGTTCTTAATTAGAAATGCCACTTAGAGGAAATAGATATAAACAGTAAAAGTATGCTTACGGCTACATACTTTACACCAATGGTGTTTTCAATTTCTAGTGTGTTATAATACTTGATACCTGCCCACTGTAATTGTTTGGACATGTATTCGTTGTCTTGCAGAGAATTTACATGCTTTAAAATGGAGAGTAGTTGTGAGTTTGTTGTGCTGCTGTCTCTTCCTAGTCAACACCTCAGATGTCCTGACCATTGAGAGTGAGACAGAGAATCGTTTTGTTCTGGAGCAACTGTGGTCGTCGGGGTTCCTTCACCACGCCGTGTGGTTGGGGATGTACTTCAACACTGACAGTAAGAATCTATCCCTCTCTGGTACCCATCACATGATCGCGATCCCATTTCATTAACTTGTGGACTTTGATTTTAGCTGATTCTCTGGCCTGGGTGGATGGTTCACCTATGGACTACATCAACTGGCCCAACAAAGCCCCAGACTCCAAGCAGCTGACTGCAGATGCCTGTGTGACTACCAGGGTGATTGACGGTGTGTGGCACCTGTCGAAGTGCACCGAGCGGCTCGGCTTCGTCTGCAAAACCACCTCAGGTAAATTGAATTGGGGGCCTTCTGAGCGAATATTGGGTCCCCTGTATTGAACTCGTACAACATATTGGAATATTTGTTGCTGTAGGTCCCCAAAATAATATGGTGATACTTACATGTTCACAACTCGTTTCTGCTGCCACAAAGTGAACAATAAGTGAATAAAAATAAAAGTGAATAAATAAAAAACGTGATGAGTTGTATTGAACTCCACTGTATGTGTTCTTTTGCAGATGCAATTGCTGAGGTGGAAGTGGAACCTCTAAATGGTAAAGTGCACTTTCATCTGAATGATTTACACTTTGGATGGGTGGCATGAGCATTATGATACAATGTGATGCATGTTAATAATATACAGTGGTGGAATGTAACTATATGCTGAACAAAAATATACACGCTTTTGGTTTTGCTCCCATTTTTCACGAGTTGAAATAAAACGTGTAAACGTTTTTTCTATGCATATGCAAAATGCTTATTTCTCTCTTGTGCACAAATGTATTGAAATCTGGGTTAGTGAGCACTTTTCCTTTACCAAGATAATCCATCCACATGACAGGTGAGGCATATCAAGATGCTGATTAAACAGTATGATTATTACACAGGTGTGTCCTGGGATGGTCTCAATAAACGGCCATCTAAATGTGCAATGTATCTTGAAGAAATACATTTGTCAGGCCCTCTAGTCTGCACTATGGATTTCACACGAATCGGGCTACAGATGCATTTTTTTTGGTCACACAGGATTCACCTGAGAAGAGAACCTCCTCCCTCAAAACCTGCAACATCTGTGGCATTGTGTTGGTGATAAAACTGCACATTTCAGAGTGGCCTTTCACTGTGACCAGCCAAAGACACACCTGTGTAACAATCATGCCGCTAATCGGCATTTTGATATGCCACACCTGTCAGGTGGCCTGATTATTGAAGTGCTCACTAATATAGATTTTAACAAATTTGTGAACAATATTTAAGAGTAATACACATTTTTTGTGCAAAGAAAAACTCTTAAATCTGTTATTTCAACTCGTGAAAAATGGGAGCGAAAACAAAAGTGTTGCATTATATTTGTTATAGTAGTAAATACATCTTTGTACTTTGTACTACTACAAATATCTTTACTTTACTAAACTGGTTTTTACTCCACTACATTTGCAGGACTTTTGCTTGTAGCGGAGTATTTTCAAAGTGGGGTATTACTACTTTCACTTTGGATTTGATTACCTCTTAAACCACTGCAAATATATCTGTATTAATGTTTGTATAATTCAAAGAGACCACACATTACAACAAAAATATGGCCACATAAAAGCTACCGTGCATTTCAGGTTTACATCACGGCGTCATCCCCGCTGCGGTGCTGGTGGCCGTGCTGATCTTTGCCCTGGTGGCAGGAGCGATGTGGTTTGTGTACAAGAGGAACGCTTCACGTTTTCGTGGACTTCATACGCTCAGCGGTGCTTATTACAGACAAACCAGCTCACAGGCTACGGAGTCGGATGGAAATGTGCTGATCACACACCTGGAGGCTCACTCGGGAGAATAGCACTCAAGTGAGTTCTTTACGGTCTCCATCGTTCTCCCGTTATCTGTCTGCCTCGCGCCATTTCACCATCGGGTATAAACGCCACATGACACTGTAAAGCCGTGACTCCTCAGGACAGTGGTGAGATGATGACGGCAGACATTTCCCCTTTTTGTAATTTGAGAATGTGCATCGAAGGATCCCAGTTGCTCTCAACAGTTTTCATGCGTTCAAAACATCTAAATGAGACAAACGATTGTGAAGATATTTGTTGTGTTGACACTGAAGAGCCCACATTGGAATATTCTTGACTGACAAACATAACTGAGATTGTTGAAGAAGGGATGCTAGGTACTAAACACTTGATGCCTGTTGTTCTCCCGCAGTGTGAGTATTTAATCAATTATAGTTGGAAAACGGTATTTAGGAAAAATAATAAAGAAAGATTTTATTCAACTAGGAGATTCAAACAGGTGAAAGAAAGGCTTGATCCACTTCAGGGGTCAAAAGTAACTTTCATTGTCATACGTAAGAGGCAGATTGGTGACAAAATAGAAATTACAGTAACATTTGTGACTTCATTTTGTACATTTCATTCAGAATTTCAGGAGCGTGGGGCAGCATTGTTATCAGTATTACTTTTGTGTTTTTATTTTATTTTTTTAAGTACACATGCTGTATATTGACAAAAGAGTTGTTTGTTCTAAACTAACAGAAAATGTGTAAGGCATAAGTGATTATCAAATTCATTCCCTTGTTCACTTTTATCTGCTGATGCAAAGCAAATTACCAGATGTATTTTTGCACAATTTTCTTTGTGTTTTAATAAATTGAGGTCAGGCCGAACAATTCCAGTTTCATTATCTATTTCCACGTAAGCTCTGTAAGGTTTGTTTGCAGATTTGGTCCCTTCTTAATAATTTAGTCCACTCCTTTTGGATACATGTGTTGCGTTTAGCTTGTAGCATTTCACCATCACTACATATTGGCACATCACAGGTCAGAGAAGGCTTTGCTTTATTTATACAAAAGCCCAATCGGTGACAATAAAGAGATATTCATCTGAGCGAGAACAACCAGAGTGACTGCAATCAAGACTGCTCTGTTCAGTTTTTAAGTAGGCCAGTAGGTAGTTCATGTGAGCTGTAGGGCAGATAGTACTGATAAAGTGATGATGCAATGCAGTTAAGGATTTCAATTTTCTTTCTTTGCAGCTTGAATATTATCCTTGGTCTTTTCACATTGAATTAATCTCTGTGACGTACTGTACGTCACAGATGAACCACGAATATTGTCAAACATTTTGTCGGCCTTTAGGTAAAAAATATAATAATCACTTAATGTGTAATTGAGCTGAATAAAACGCCCTCCAATCAGTCTTATTAGATTGTCTAAATAAAGGTGTCAGCCTTTAGCAGAACCTTTAAGTGGAGAAAATGAGACAGCAAAGTGCAGCCATTGACTCTTTCTCTGGTAGTATCTGACATCACAGTGGTTAATAATTCATACCAGCTGCTACGTTTACGAATTAAAACATTAAGTGCTACTGTACGCACAAGATAAATCATTAATGCTCTTCTGCTGCAGCACTTCCTCTGCAGTTGGTGGATGAAAAACACACAACGTGCGTTTCAGTTGACGGAAACAACCGAGTGGGCGTGAAGTGGGTAAATGGAGAGAGCGTTCGTGTTTTCTGGGAATGTGAAGGGAGGGCACCAACGAAAAGAGCCAAGAAAATGCAAAGACGGAAGACATTTCGCCTTCAAAATCAAAGCCTTGCATGAGATTCGCCTTGTTCAGTCCGTCATTTACTTTAAACTATTTAAGTAAAACACTATGAGATAGCCTGAGTCAAAAATGTTCGTATGCAAAGTCAAAGTTATGTGATATTAAGTCAAAAATCTAATTAGCTATTTGACTTCGCAAAATTGGATTTAGTCTCTTGATTTTGACATTATGTCTTATCTATTTTTAATTACCAAGTCAAAATAATGAAATGCTCTCTCTCTCTCTCTCTCTCTCTCTCTCTATATACATATAACGTTATGTATATGTAGTACATGGTTTTGTATATATACATAAAGCATAACCCACTCTGTTGTATGTTATGGTTTATACATGATTTTGTATGTTGACTCGGTGATTCGTGGTTTTTTTTAATTCTTTTTTTATCATGCATTACACGTTTACATAATTGTTATCCTTGTTACTGGTGGAGATGGGCTTCCTTCCATAAAAAAATTCCCGTTGCCAGTTTTGTCGACTTTATCTTACGCGTTGAACCGGAAGTCTCTTCTTCCCTTGTGGCGCGCGCTAGCTTGATGGCGTCGTCGGAGCCGGACTCTGGGTAACGCAGCTGACAGTTGGTAGAACTGGGTTAGCGTCAGGTTAACCTAGTTATCTGATCACTTGGCGCTTGGAGTTGAGTCATCGATCGGCCTATATTCACAGTTCAACTCCCCGGAGAGGACTTATTCTTTATGAATCCAACAAAAAGACTCTGCCGTCACCATGCCGAACATGTCCAAAGCGACACTTTGCCTTTGTTTGTTGACTGTGTTGGGGACAACTGTTTTCTTGGGAACTTGCTCACCAACTAACGTCGGAGGTTTCGGTAAGTAGCTACCTCGAGCTCCCGACACTTTGTTTTCGTTTTCGGTGTCACTTTTCAACTCTGGACGCGCCGTTTTGGTTCGTCCCGGGGTTTAGACTTAGCTCGATGAACGCAGACGCGCGACATGAATCCGAGGACAATAGCCTCAAAGCTGCAACAAGAGGAGCCAGATACAATAAGCAGCGTTGAGTTTTATTAGTTCGTAGTTTGACATATTGCGCCCATCCCCCAGTCAGTTTGTTGCCTTCACATATTCTGACAGCTCAAACAAATTGCAAACTCATCCCTCCCTCTCCCCCTGGTAGTAAGTCATGCGCATCTGTAAACAGCTCTCACAGTATGGAGGCTAAGCTACTGCTCAATGCAAAGAACCCTGAGTGGCTGTAATACCATACAGTGAAGCTGTAACATGATATTGTTTCCTTTCTGTTTCTAGAAGGCCTGTGTGGGTAGGGCACTGTATGCGAACATCTATGTTTGTTTCATATTTAGCTGTGATCATCCATATTTATTAACCTTGGTTATTATGTGTCCCTACTTACTCCTATACTCAGTAACTATGCAGTTACTTGTATATCTCTAGCAGTATATTTATTTAAATTTATTTCCTTTTCTGGTCCATATAATGAGTCTTAACAAATACTAGCATCAGCCCTATACAATACCCATCAAGTGTAATGTATAATATATAGATACTGCACTATGCTGTATGGATCCTGCCAATTTATTCCGCTATTACGGTCATTTTCTTCTCCATATTGTTTATTTCATTGGTTGGGGGGTTTTCCTGTTGAAATGTTTTTCTGATGGCCTTCTTGCGAGCAGCTAAACGTTTTTTAAAGAGATAATCCTCCTGTGTTATACATTTTTGGATTTTGCCCAGATATGTGTTCATTTCTGCTAAAATCTCCCACATTTCTCCCCAAAAGCACAGAGGAAATGATCTCAATGAACTAAATTGTAGCCACTGTTACTGTCATTTGTAAGTAATTTAAGCCATTTTGTATCACAGGTTTTTATTAGTGATTTGTCATTGTTTCTTTGTTTGTCCTATCACCACAGACAAGGATGCGTTCACCATCCAACACTCGAGCACGGGGATGTGTCTGGGTGTAGGGGTCTCGGCAAACCTGAGTCTCGCCCCCTGCGACCCAAACGGCAGGTCCCAGCTGTGGAAGTGGGGCTCAGGTCACCGGCTCTTCCACGTGGCCACGTCCCTCTGCTTGGCGCTGGACGTGCAGTCCAAGACGTTGTCCCTGGTCGACTGTGGCTCTAACATCCTGCTGTGGTGGCGCTGCCTGGACGGGGCCGTTTTCACCGTTTACCAAATGGGCCTGGTGGTCATCGACGGCAAAGTTGCCACCAAACGGGACCCTAATGACACGTGGGTAAGAGGAGCATCCCAGGACAACATCTGCCAGCGGCTGTACCGCGGTAAGTGTGGTTTCCCCTCGTTTTATCTGAGAGAAAAGTGCTTTTTTTGTTGTCCATTATGGAGCTCTGAGGATGGACCACCACTTGAGGGAATGATCAGCCAACAAATGAAAGGAGTGTAGTTTGTTTTTAATGGAAGACAAACTTCCGCAACTCAATCTTGTGATAATGCTACACCCTCGTATGTATAAACAGGTGTTACCTTCACATGACCGGCTGTTGGGAGTTTTTAACAGAACCTGACTGGTTGGTTGTCTTCATTCCTAGCAATCATTACTCCTTTGTGCTGCGGGACAACACAGTGAGTCAAATTCCAGGTTAAGGAATTGGACTTCTTCTGAAACCCGAGTGTCTCTGTTTCAAAACTGTGTGGATTTTTGGGGGGGGATTCCTTCGGGTGTGCTTAACGATTGTGCATGTCTAGGTCTGTGTGGCGCAGATAAATGCTGACTTTCACTTTTGTTTCGTGGGTAGTGCTCACTGCGTGGCTCTGTTGGGGCACATGTGGTCAAACGAGTACACCGTAACAAATGAGTTAGAACTGTTGGAATGTACAGTACGTGTATGTTTTCTGTGTATTACTGTATAAAAGCACTGTTAAAGGTATCACTTTAGACTTTAGATGTATATCCATAGGACCCAGAATACAAGTGGGAATGGTACATGCTTTCTTTATAATAACACATGAATATAAAAAACACAAATGTAGAGGATCTACACTGGCACGAAGATGCATTCAAGAGACAATTTTCTTTTCTTATTTTCCTCACTTGTTACTTCTTTATAAAAGACTTATTTCTCCTTGCTCACAGCCATTCATTTTACTTCCCAAAATACAGGCTCTGATGTAAGTTTAGGGTGAGGTGCCGATGTAGAAACGTACTGTCAGTGTTGGATGGAGTGTTGCATCCTTTTACATTTGCAAAAATACAACACTCAACTGTGTCTAACGGTTTTCTGTGTTTGTGGATCTGTTGACCACAAGTGAACCACTTTCTGTCCACATATGTGGTCCAACAATGTTTCCAAATGAAGACCTTCCTCTCACCCTAGTTCATTTAGCTGCACCGTGTGTTCTTAAGAAGAAAAAGAGGAAGTGTTTTTGGTTTGCATGCAACAAGACACCGCATTTGTTTGGGTGACACAATTACCAGAGGCTTGTAAAAGGTCTTTGACTTTGCTCTTTGCTCCCCTCTCCTCTCTGTGCAGTCGTCCACACCACCGATGGGAACTCTGCCGGCTCTCCCTGTGAGTTCCCCTTCAAACACAACGGCAGCTGGCATCACGGGTGCCTCCCAGATGTGAATTTCCCCCGACTGTCCTGGTGTGCCACCACGTCGGACTACGACCAAGACCAGAAAAAAGGATACTGTCTAACACCTGGCATGTTCTTCAATACTTAAAAAAAACCATAATCATGGCCCTTTTGCTCTACTTCCAATGGAGAGATCTGGCCCTTTATATATATATATATATATATATATATATATATATATGTTTAATGTTGGCATTACTGTGAGAGAATCTACATTTGTCTCAATGTCCGCTGCACACCTGGATGTTTTCTAAAATGTCCGCTAAAAGCTAGGTCACAAATCTATTTTCCTCTGCAATAAATCCTGTTAGATTACATCCGGCATCAACAAAATGGCACACTTAAGACTCTCACGCTCACACTGATGGCGTCTCTTTGACCCTTGCAGAGGAGGGTTGCCAGACTCTGTTTGCCGGGCCGGAGGGGGATTCCTGCTATGAGTTTGTCTCCAGTGCCGCGGTGACCTGGCAGGAAGCTCTGGATTCATGTCGCAGTCAGGGAGCTGACCTGCTGAGTGTGTCCGAGCTCGACGATCTCTACTCCAAAACCTGTGAGACCCATTTACTTCTTCTTCTTCTTCTTCTTCTCCTGTTCTTGTTTCTACTCCACCTATCAGCTGACAGAAATCCAAAGCACAAAGTAGTCAAAGTTATGGGCTTCTCCTTACAATCAAATGCTCTGATATGAGAGGAATGCTCCCCGACACGTGCATTCATAACATGTATGATTATAAATAATAATACAAAATAATTAACGTTAGCAACAGTTTTGTTGACTTTAAAAAGAAAATTAACTAAAAATAAATCCTTTTCTAAATGTATCAGCTGACCTGCGTCTCTCAAAGCCCAGACACTCTAATTATACCGTTTGAGATCTTTGAAAGTTAACAAACTATTTCAAGAAACAAAACCGAAAGAGAAAACTAATGCAAAACTAATCTTTCGTCACATTTGATTTATGTAGGGTGCAACTTCTAAATGACTTCATGTAACGTTGTTATGCTTTATTTGGTCAGGTTATTATTGTGTTGTTCCTACTTACTGGTCTTTATATGACAGTAAAAGAAACGAAAGCAAAGCTAGACTGACTGTTTGTGTCGCACCAGGCTGCACCTGACACTCCTTACAGATGCCGCAAGTGTGGGTGCTTTTCTACTTCTTCTGCTATTTCTTCTTCATCTGTTTCTCGGTTCTTTTTTTATGAAAAACTTGTTCATCATGCGGTTGGTCATGTCTATGATACATCAGCTGAAAAACATTTAGACGAGTTCAAGAATGTTTAAAGTAACATAAACAGTCTCGAAGGCTCCAGGATGCAGTTCAGCCCTTAATGTCTTTAGAGGTATTTGTCAACTCTTTTCTTTTAAACATTTGTGGAGTTTGCATGATTATCATTGAACCGGTTATGTCTTGCATCCAGATCATCTTGCGCTCTTAAGTTAATACTGTCAGACACTGGAGAGCGCAGATGTTGCAACGGTTTCATAGTATCTGTGACACTGGTGCTGCAAACTTTTTTTTTTTCAGGAAGTTGAAAACCACATCAAGGGATCTGGTGCAGCACCACTTCTCCTCGCTCTCCTTCTGAATCAACTGATTGTGTATCCCCGTGTTTGTTGTTTTCACAATCCCAAATGATCTCGATGCTTGGTGTTGTCTCAGACTTGTCCCTTCCTTTTTTGTTTTTGTATGTATGCGTGTCCTGTCTTGTGTGCTCCTGCGTTGCATTGTGCAGTGTTGGACGGCCTTGACAGAATGCCTGAGAGGATGTGGATCGGCCTGCACCAGCTAGACACCTCTCACGGCTGGCAGTGGTCAGATGGTTCCCCTCTATCAACCCTGCGCTGGGAAACAGGTGAACGTGGTTTCAAAAAAATCTATAAAAAAATTGTCTTTCCCTTGTGTTCATTTCTAATCTTTGTCCCATTTCTGAAGAATATTTATATAAATGGCATGTAAACACACGTTGATCTAAAAGTGGTTCAGAATGAGTTGATGAAGCTCAACGGTTCGGCGAAAAATAGAAAGATTTTGCAGCTGGAAAGCACCTGCTCCATCTAGCACACCACACCGCAAGCGCTGTCGTGATGTGCTGTTGTCGCTGCTCTAATATAAACTGAGACTTGGTGTCAGTCAGAGGAACAATGCGGCCAGTGTTGCAAAGAAGCTCATTGTGCCTGTTTTTTTGGACACATTGTGGCGTTGGGGTTGCCACTGTCGCTGAAGAACTCATTAATACTACTGAATGGAAGGCTTTATAAAGCCTTCTAGCTATTGTAATATGTTTGCCGTTTTGTTTTCTCTCTCTTCTCAAAGGGAAGATGTTGTTCTTAAGCTGCAGTGTGAACGTCGAGGATACTGCAGCCATCTGGCCCTCTGCTGATATGAGCTCTTAGTGCTTGCTGTAATTTGCGACGTGTCACTGTGTTGAACCGTTATTGCGACAATCCTTTTTATTTCACCTCTCTGTGCAACCACACAGTTGATAAGTGGAACCTTGAAAATAACTTAAATGCCACTCCTCTGCTCCGCTGTCACGGCCAGTGTGTGACTTGTATTTGTGTGTGTTTGTTGCAACGTGTTTGACAGGAATGCCATCCACCTCCATGATTTTTGAGTCGGACTGTGGGGTCCTGAACTCCAAACAGAGCTATGAGTCTGAGGCGTGCAACAAACGGCTGCCGTACATCTGCAAGAAGAGTGTCAATGCCTCTGGCGAGGCAGCAACAGGTAGGTTAGCTGCTGCCCTCACTGTCTGCACTTCCATTTCCTCCTGAATCCTGTTTGAAGAAGACTAAGCGTCCACAGCCATGCCAGCGGCTCTGTGAGGCTATACTTCAGGCGCAGCTGTGCTTTGAGCTAAATGCATGCTAACGTGCTGATGTTAAGCAGGTCTAATGTTTACCTTGTTCACCATCTAGCATGCTAACATGTGCTACTCGGTGCCAAACACAAAGTACGGCTCCAGCGGAATGTCATTAGCTTTGCAGGTATTTGACGTGAAAAAAGTCAGGTGGTCACCAGAGTTTGTTGGACATGAATGTCTGTGCAAATTCAATCCATTAGTTGAAGACATTTCACTCAAAGCTTCAAATATGAACCTCGTGGTGGCACTGGAGGAAAAGTCAGCGGAACACCAACATCATTATAATTAAGCCTCCAGGGATCTTGAATGTGTTTTGCAAATTTCATGGCAGTCCTTCCAATAGTTTGTAGTAGCTGTTGGCTAAAAACAAGGCTACAGATCTAGGAGCTTCAAACAGCTCATAGCTTCACAATACATGCAACATAACCAAAGTGTCTGGTTTGAACCAACTGACGGACGAATGGACCCTTGATGCTGTTGTTTTGCTTCTTCTTCTTTGTCTTCTACTTGGGTTTTTAATGGCAGATTAAACCAGCATATTAGGTGCATATCTCCACCTGTAGTTTTTCTCTCCTCATATAGTGTCAGTTCTCTCGTTCACCTTCCTTCATATGTGCATATGATAGCCATGGCTCTTTTGCACATTTGTCTCAGTTGCAGATCATAAATCCCTTTTGAGTCAGATTTGTGATTTGTGGGATATAAAAATGAAATTGACCTGACTCCCCCTCACGGCCTCCGTCTGTCTCGGTCCTTCTTTACAGAATCTTTTGTCTATAGCGAAACACTGTGCGCAGACGGTTGGGTCCCGTGGAATGGCTGGTGCTACAAGTTGGTGAAGGACACGCCTCAAAACTTTACAGATGCCCTGATGCACTGTAACCTCACGGAGGGAGGCTCTCTGGCCAGCCTCCACTCCATTGACAGCAAGGAGATGATCAGCACTAATTTCCATGCAGGTAAATAATAAAAAAAAATATATATAAATCTAAATGTTCTCCAGCCAGACCCCTGCTTTGACGATTCGATGTTCTTATGTTTGTTATGGCCCATCAGACGGCAAGTTTTTGGACGTCTGGATCGGTCTGATCGGTGACGGCATGAACCCCACTGTCTTCAAGTGGATGGACAAGGCACCCGTCACCTTCACCTACTGGGACCAAAACCAGCCAGTCCAGCCCGCTTTACATACCAGCTGTGTCTTCTACGCTGGAGAGGTGTGTGTGTGTGTGTGTGTGTGTGTGTGTGTGTGTGTGTGTGTGTGTGTCAGTGTTTTGTGTGTGTCAGTGTTTTGTGTAACCCCACCCACTGCATTCAGTCTTTTGTGTCCAGCCTGTGGGGAGTGTGTGTGTCCTACCAAGGCGTTGTTTTTGTCCACTCGCGATCTGCTGTTCAAGTTTGTTTATACGAGGCCTGTGTCCGTGCTCCACAGCAACAAGGTTGGCGGGTCGGCGACTGCACACAGAGGCTACCTTTCATGTGTCAGAAGAAAGGGGAAGTCAATGAATCTGCAGCACAGCCCGGATGCCGCTTTGAGGATGTGAGTACTGTCTACTACGTGGCCTGCCTTCCCATGGTGAAGCCTGCAGTGTTCTGCGTTACCTTTTACTTTTTTTTTTTTTTTTTTTTTTTTTTTTTTTTATTATTGCAAACTGACATGTAATTTAGTTCCAGCCCTCAAAGACTACGTGCCAATTACAAGCCTTAATGCTAAACGTTGTTGTTTGTTTCCGCAGATGAATTTTTGGTCAAACTTGATCCTTTTTTTTGTTTATTCACGTCCGTGTTTGCGTGGAAGGGATATCTGTCCTTCCACACATGAACATCTTGTGCTTGAGCTGCGCTCATACGTCAGTTATCATCATAACATTTTGAAACAGAGTAGAGTAGCCATGCAAGTGTGTATTTTAACAGTTACTTGCTCTCAAGGTCAGGTTATAAAGGCAGATCTGTAGCTGTGTTACAAGCTGATGCCAGACAATGAGAAATGTGTGACTGCACAAACAAAACTATCCTATCTGAATACTGATCTTTGTGTTCCCGATACAGTCCCATTGGCAGGGACGGGGTGTGTATGAGAACTGGGACTAAGCATGAAAGTGACACGTGTCTGCTTGTGATTTGAATGTCAATCCCTCAGGGTTGGAGGAGACACGGCAACTCCTGTTATCAAGTGAACACCAATCAAGTGTCCTTCAAAGATCGATGCAACGTCACTATAAGAAACAGGTAGGAGAGCTGCTCGGTTTTAAAAAAAAAAAAAAAAAAAGCACACGCTGACACCTGTCAGTTGCTGCCCACCGGCAATACTTTCTGGTATTCTCATGTTTGGCTGTTCTTTCCAGGTTCGAGCAGGCCTTCATCAGTCGTCTACTTAGAAAGCAGATCAGCGTGGAACCTCAGCATTTTTGGATCGGGCTGCAGGACACTAAGAACACAGGGGAGTACCAGTGGCTGAGCCAGGATGGGTCCCCGGGTGTGGTTACCTACACCAACTGGGGCTGGTTCGAACCAGGTTAGTAAAAACACACTTATGCAGGAATAGCACGAGACCAGAGGAGAAGCCATGTGACCACAGACTCTGGTTAAGAAAGTTTAGTGTTATAATGTGTTGCATTTCATTCTGAACCTCTCTCTCCAGATTATGGTGGTTTCTTCTAGTGTGGAGGTTCAGAGTTACTGATTTACTAATGCAAAAAATAACTATTAGCAATTTTGCACATTAGATTTAACTTCTTTGTGTTGCATGTGTATTTCAGACCAGGATGGAGGCTGTGCAGTGATTTCTACCGCAAAACCCCTGGGCAAGTGGGAGGTGAAGAACTGTACCATTTTTAAGGCCGGTACCATTTGTAGAATAGACCTCAGTCCACCTCCACCCCCAGAACCAGAGCCCAACCCCAACGCAAACTGTCCTGATGGATGGGTGTCCAGACCAAACACCAAATACTGCTACAAGGTGTGTGTGTGTGTGTGTGTGTGTGTGTGTGTGTGTGTGTGTGTGTGTG